GAATGGTTAGAAGAAGGTTCTGAATATTATGTAGACTGTAATTGGGACGAAATTAAATCTAATCCAACTTCCATCATATCGATGTCACTAGAATTCATGCTAAAAATAAATCTTCGATAAATTTTAGATAATAATTTAAATAATATTTATTTCAAATTTTTTAATATATTTATTATATGAAAATAGATTAATTAATGATCTCGATCTATAAATAGAATTTATTAGTTATTTATTATTTATAAAATTCGAAAAAAATAAAATTCATAAGTTTTAGTGGCTTAATTCACCCCCCCCCCCCCCATTAATTTTCAAATAATTATAATAAAGTAACGTTTTGAAAAAAATTATTTTATTTTTTATATAAATAAATAACAAAAAGGTAGAAATCCCTTTTTTGATAAAAATCAGATTTGATTATTATTATTGGCCTTTTGGGGTTCGGTTCATCCGGTGGTAAATATTATTTTATTTTAATCATATTTATTTACAGATATAACTTACATTAAAGAAATTAAGCTTAAAATCAGCCATCACCCACCTTTAAAGTAATTAAATTATACTGTAGTTCTCGGGTATAGGCTTTTTCTTTGTCCCACTCCTTCTAAATTAAAGCCTATAGAGGTTTAAGCAACATTTTTCTAAATGTTGTACCTACAAGTACGTGCGGCTTGCCCACAAACGTGTGGAGGGCTCTTCATATTTTTATTTTTATACCCAAATTAAATTGTTCCAATTAGATGGAAATGAGGAAAACCTAGCGTAGCTCTGTTGAATCTTCAACGTTAGAGGGCAAAAGCGCTATATATCACGTATCACGTAAATAAAAAAAATAATAATTAAAATCCCCCTCCCCCAACTGAACCCAAAAATGAATATCGTTTGTTTTTATCTAAAAATAATATAAATGACGAAAACTTTTAGTAAGAAAAAAAAATACTTACTTAAAATAGAATATTTTAGAATTAAGTAAATAAAAAGGCAGACGATAAATATAATTTTTGAAAAACATCCTTTTTTAGAACTTTGTTAAAATTTTTGAATTGACGGATATTAATAAAAAGAAGTGTTTTAAATTTACTTTTGAAACATAACTAGTGATTAGTTACAGTTATATTATGAGTTACTTTCTGGTTCTTATAAATTTTAAAATGGTCTATTAATTCTAAAAATAGATTTTGGGTTATGTAAGAATTAATGATTTTTTCACTCACATATGTCTAATATTTATTTTAAACATATTGCAAATATATATTTTTTAATGTTAATTCAAATAGAACTGTGGAGTTTTTTTGTCAAGAAAATTGTGATAATAAGAATATTAGAGGAAGGGTTTTAGATAACTTATTTTTTATTTAATTATATATGCATGCATCCTATTGTATAATTTAAAAGACATTTTAGATCATAGAATTTACCATTTTTTTGGAAGGCAAAAAAGTCCTGAACAAGAGGACCATGACTTCCCCACTGAGCCCATTGCAATTTAAGAAACGCTCAATATTTTAACTGAAATTTTTTTTTTATAAATTGAAAATAGGTATCCAATAAAGTATAAACCCCACAAAAGTTTTGAATATGGTTAAATAACTATACTCTACCTAAGGGAGCTCTGCAAATTCAATTTTTTTTGGCCTGAGCCCATTGCAATTTATTAAAACGCGATCTCAGTTATACCTATTTGCAGGCACTACTAACAACCTCCTTTACCTTTAAGTCTGAAAATATTTTAATTTATTTTAAATAAGCTGTTTCAATCAAGTAAATTAACAACAGTAAATATATGATTACTTTTCTGTTAATATTTCGTTCTCTATGCATAAAAATATGATTGGGCAAAATATTCACTCACAATAATATAATATTGTTTGGAGTAGGTGCTCTGGTCCATGCTCGGATCAATGAAAGGAACCATTTTCAAAAAAGGAATAAAATATTAAATAATAAATATGAATATTTATATGTTAATATTGAAATATTCGTCTTCTATGCACAAAAATATAATTGAGCAAAATATTAACATTCAGTTCATTAATATAACTCTGGTTGGTGCTCGGGAAATATCGGTACATCCCTAAAAAAGAAATAATTGTTTTATTAAAAAAAATGTCGTGGTTTGTTAAGTGATTAATTAGTCTATATTTTGTTTATTTGTAATTTAACGACCCCTATCTATAAATAAAAATGAATATCAAAACTCAAAAGATATCGTTTAACTGAACTACTGAGCCAACTCAACTAATCGGTTTAAGTCTTAGCCAATTTTTATAATTTTAGAGATCCCAAAAATTATTACAAAAGATATAATACCCTCATTTGATGATATGAATTATAAATATCTAAAAATCGATAAATTCCTATAATAAATTTTTCCCGGTCTTAGAAGATAATTATTTCATTCGATATCAATAATTAATAAGGAATTGAATTACTCGGTCTCTAATTTTTAATTTATAGATTATAAGAGAATATTTTTTTAAAAAAGGTATATAATATTAAATAAATATGATTATTTTTCATGTTAATATTGAAATATTCGTCCTCTATATATAAAAATATGATTGCGCAAAATATTTACAATAAACTAATAATAGGTTTGTTTGGAGTAAGTGATCCGGTCCATGCTCGGGTCGATGAAATGAACAATTTTTGAAAAAGGAATCGAAATCTAATATTAAATAAGAATATGTCTATGCTAATATTGAAATATTCGTCCTCTATGTAAAATACAATTCAACAAAACATTCACATTCAGTCACAATAAAATAATATAATAAAAGTTGGTGTTGGTACTCTCAAAAAACTTTAAAATTAACGATTATGACAATTGTCACTTATCCAGGGTACGTATTGACTGAAGTTTTATTTAAATTTGTTTTCAATATTCCCATTTGCGACAAAGAAAATTCAAAAAACTTTAAAATTAACGATTATTACAATTGTCACTTATCCAGGGTACATATTGACTGAAGTTTTATTTAAATTTGTTTTCAATATTAATTATTTGTAATTTGCGACATAAAAAATTAAAAAAACTTTAAAAAAAACGATTATGACAATTGTCACTTATCAAAGGTACATCTTTTCTGAAATTTTATTTAAGCATGCTTAATAAATTATTTAGAAATTACAACTTCTTTTAATATACTTAAAAAATAATTTCAGAAAAATGATTAAAAAAACTATAAAATATTTCATTCATCTAAAAGATTGTTTATTTATATTAAAATTCACAAAAGAATTTCTCAAAAAAGATTTATTTACAAAATTTAAAATTCTTATCAAATTATCAATTGCTTAAAATTTTGGGCGTGAAAAATCACAAATTTATTGTTAAAATAATATTATAATTACATTTAAAAAACATAAACCATTTTCAATATAATAAAAAATAATTAAAATTTCATTTCAATATTAAATAATATCATGTTTTTATTTATATAAAATAAATCGGGTCGATGCTGTGTTAGGGTTGGTGCTCGGGTCGATGAATTTGGTTTTGGTTCATTTTTTCGACCTAAAACCAGGGTCGTGGTCGTGTAAAACCAACTAATTTACCACACTACTGTGATGATTCAGAATTAGAACTGTAAACGTTACTACAAAAAAGAGCGTTACCGTTACTCGTTACATCTGAAATATGGAACGCGTTACCTTTACCCGTTACCATTTTACAAAAGGAACGCGCGTTACCGACTTTTCAAAAAAGTAACGGGCTATGCGTTACTTAAAAAAATTAAATGCATAATGCAAAAAAATATTAATTTTTTTCTGACAATATATAATAAAATAAAACTATAAGAACATATAAGATTAGATCTTTTTATAATAAAATTTTCATATATATTTATAATATGAATAAAATTATACAAAAATAATATATTATAATATAACATCTTTATGTAACAATTTTTTATTTATTTTTAACAACAATTGATTTTCAAAATTGTGATCAGATAAGCATGAGGGCTTAATACTCAACACAGCTTTCACCGTGCTAAACACACGTTCAATTGGCGCAGAGGATGGGAGAGTGGTGTTATATTTAATAAACAAAATTTTCAATTCAGGGATTTTATTAAAAATATTTAAGGAAATAATTTTGAAAAAAGCTTGAAGGATCATCTTCACAGAGATCTTCATTCACTTCCTCATCAAAAAAAAATTTATCTTTATCCGAAAATATTCTAGTGTGTGTGTTGGATAAAAGAATCAAGCCTGTTCTTTATTTATCAATATCTTTTCTCAAACTGGAAATAAGTTCCAGCATTCTTTCTTTATTGACCTCTAATTTTATCCAAGGCCAATCCAATTTAAATAGTGGGTGAATTATTGCCGATATAATATATTCATCATCATAGATGTGTTTGAATCTATTGAAAATATGATAGTAAAAATATAAATTATAAGCAATATTTGAACTGTATACCTTTTATCTATGGTTTCCAGGATTGAATCAATAAGCGGCTTATAAAACTTAAAATTATTTAAAGCCAATTTTTTAAGTTTTGATATTATAATGGTTATAGCGGGAGTGAGATATCCCAAATGCATATTTTCTTCGCTCTCTAAAATTGCAAGAGCCGTAGCTATCGTTCCATAACCTATAAAATCATATATATACATATCATATTTTAATTAACACTAACCATACAATATTCATCTATGAACGACTAGTCGTTGAAAATCTCTATAATCCAAATTTGTCGCAAAATTCATCAAATTTTTGGGAATCCACCATAATAAGACTATTTATTAATATTACAAAGTTATAGAAAGAATTACATCTTGTTATAACAGGTTTAATTAAATATCTTCCCATATTTTCCTTAAAAATGGCTGCACAGTTAGAAGATTGCCCATGTTTATTCCACAAAAGCTTATTGACACTGAAAAGGTACTTAACGATGTCCATTATAAAACCATTTCAAAAATTACATTTTCTAAATAGATTTAAAGTGTGTGCTGAACAGGAATGATGCTTAGGTAAGTATACAATACTATCAGATGCTTAGGTAAGTATACAATACTATCATTAATATTTTGATCTTCAAATAGATCAAATAATGGCAGAGGAACTATTTCATCATCCGATTCCTCTCCTTGTTCATATACTCTAATAAAATTTTAATAAATATATTATATAATTTTTTTTACTTGAAGGTTTTTAAATAATTTCGAGCATTATCGATAATGCATTAGGTCACTTTATTTTGTATCCTTATGGTAAAAATTTCAAAGATTATTTTTGCTAGATAATCATATGTATGTTTTTGATTTAGCCTTCTACAAGCTAAGCAGGCTAAAACCCTCTCATGAGTGTCTGGGTATAACCAATGAACCGCCATCCCTAAATAAGAACTTTTTAAAGACAATATTATCAATTTATAGAATATATATTTTTATATATATGATAAGCTCACCAAGAATCCACTGTATAGACAATTTTCGGGATACACAATAAATCCACTAATTTCTTTGTCATTGTGTCATATGCTTTGTTAATTTTTAATATGAGAGTAGGCCTAGACATCACATTTTTAGATGGCTGCAATTTTTTGATAATATTAATAAAAGCAGTGCTTTCTACAATTGAAAATGGTTTTAATTTTTCAATTACAAAATTAAAAACTAATTCATCAACAATTGATTGTGTTATTTTTGTCTTTGAGGTAGATGGATTTTGAATCTCAAAGATTGTGTGTTGATTGGTTTCAATTTTTTTTTACTGCTCAAATTTTGATTTATTTCTTTTATTCTTGAAGAATATATAGTCTATAATTTTTTAATTTAAATATTTTTAATTCCAGTTTTTTTAAAAAAAATAACTAAAATAATTGAAGATAAATCTTTTAAAAATTTAATTGCATTTTTAATCCCTCACTAAGCTAATAATACATTAAAATTGAAATTATAATTTCCAAAGATAATTTTTCAATTTCTTATCTTTATCAGATCAGAATTATCATATAAAAAGGAATCAGGAAAAATATCTAAATTCAGTTCTCTAAAACGAAATTTCAAATTTTGATATAAAAATCTTGAGAATAGAGCACACTTTGAGACCATAAAATGACTTGTAGACTTTTTCCATGTGAATTACACTTTAGATTCCCTGCCTAATATCAAAGTTTTATTTTATTACCTTACATATTAATACCTGCACTAAAGAAAGGTCATTATCTAATTTAAAAAGGTTAAATAACCAAATCTATCTCAGAGTTAAGTAATAAAATTACAATATGATTATAATATGTTTTTTAGTATTAAAATTTTTATATGCAAAACTTAATTATAATAAATTCTTAGTCATAATATTTATATATTTTTTATAAAGGTATTGAATTTGCAATAAAAGTTATTTATATTTTGATAATATAATCATTTGTTTTAGTATATATTTTTTTAAATACCATTATGAGTAACAAGAATATTTAAATTTTATTGTAATCTTTTTAAAATATTTATGTATAATAAATTTTTAATATAATAATCTGTATAAAATTTATACATTTCAAATTTATTTTATTGTGTACTATCATTAAAATAAATACATGGTTTAATAATAAGATGCTAATAATAAAATAAAATCTATAATGAAATTTTAATAAATTTTTTCAAAATCATTTCATGATTAAGTTTTTACATGTTTAAAATAATTTTATATTAATTCATTTTTTACCTTCAAATGTTTTTTCAAGTTTGAGCTACTTGACATTGATGTTGAAATATTTACATTGGGACATAATTTACATTTACCAAGTGTAAACTTGGTACCAGGAATTAGAGGTCTGCATTGGTCGGGTTTCCTGCCCGCCCGCCCATCTAAGTGGGCGGGCGGGCGGGTAAAATTTTTTTAATAACGGGCAGGCGGGCGGGTTAAAAAAATTTTTAACAATGGGCGGGTGGGCGGGCGGGTTAAGAAATTTAGATAATGGGTGGGAGGGCGGGTTAAAAAAATTAAAAATTTTAATTAATAAAAAATTGTTCTTACGAACTTAAAAAATAAAAAGCCTTTATAACTTTTTATAAAATAAATCAACTTTTTTCTTCAATTAAAAAAACTTTTTCTACAAATAAAAACAAACTTTTCTATAAACAAATTAAAATCTCCTTTTATGGAAATGAAATAAAACTTTTTCTTAAAATATATAATTTTTTAGATATTGAAAATTAAAATTTCCTTTTTTGGGAATAATGAAATTACTCCATTGTGTTATTTTATTTTAGTAATGATTGTTTATCTTTATATTGCCCTTTTTATTTTTATTTTCTTATATAATATATAAATATTATTTTTTATAATATAATTTTAACAAAATAATATTTTTTAATTTAATGTTAAAATATGAATAAAGAATTGATTGCTAAGAAAATAAAAAATAATTTATATAAGATAAAAAACAATGAAGATAATAATAATAAACTTAAATCGTCTATGTGGAAACAATTTAAAATTATTTTTGATGAAAATGACAAAAAGCTAGATTGGATTCGCTGCAATGATTGCGAGTCCATCTTTAAATATAATAGCAAAAGTGGCACCTCCTTCTTCCTTCGGCATCAATGTTCATCTGCAAATTATGAAGATTTGATAGATAATAAAAAAATAACTGGATATTTTGAAAAAGACAATTCTCAATTAAACAAAATGATAAAATCTGGTCTAATAGAGAATTTTGTAGAATATTGCGCTAGAGACATTAGGTATTTTAATTTAATACATTATTCTTTTATCTTTTTTAGGCCATTTCAAGCAGTTCAAGGACCTGGATTTATAAATATTTTACAAAGATTTGCCGACTTAGGGGCAACATATGGTAAATTGGATGTTAATAAGATCATACCTTGTGCTACAACAGTTAGCCGCAACGTATCCAAACGCTACTTCTGAAAGAAAATTTAGCATTGCCGGAAGGTTTTTAGAACAAAGAAGAACGTGTTTGAATCCCAAAAATGTGGATTCATTATTATTTTTGCATTATAATTACTTATAATATTTATTTTATATTTATATTTTATAAATATTTTATATGATAAAATAAATTATCCATAATTTAAATTGAATATTTTTTAAGCTTAATATAGTAATTTCCCAAATTATAAAACTTATAGAGATGTAATGTTTAAACTATTTCCATTAGATGCTTAAAATAGCAGGCTTGGGTAAAAAAATTTTTATAAATAATGGGCGGGCAGGTAAAAAATTTCTGACTAATGGGCGGGCGGGAAATTTTTAGATTAATGGGCGAGTGGGCGGGTATATTTTTTTTGAAAACTATGGGCGAGCTGGGCAGGCGGGTTAAAAAAATTTTTAAACATTGAGTGGGCAAGCATATTATCCAAAAACCCGCCCAATGCAGACCTCTACCAGGAATCTTCTTAATTGATTTAAAATATAATTCAAATTGGGGCCAGGGAAGGGTTAAATGTTCTTCATCTAAAGAAGTAAGTACTATGGACATAATATTCTTTTAAAATAAATAAATTAATAATATCATTATATTTACTTTGAATTTTGATTGAATATTAATTTCGACTGATAATTTAACAACCAGAATTTTAAAAAAAATGTTGGAAGTTGTTGATATGAATTAAACCAGTCTTAAATTATTAATATTAAGAATTAAAAAATAAATAAAAGTAATTTTTATAATACAATAAAATATGTTTTTCTTTTTATTGATATTTTTTAAGAAAAAATATAAAGTAACGAGTAAAGTAACGTTTTGTGTTACCATTACTCAAAAAAAGAAACGCGTTACCATTACCTTTAGATGAAGGTAATGAATGGCGTTACTTTTTTGACGTTACTTTACAGCACTATTCAGAATCCACATGGATTCCATATCCCAATATCAGTTGTGGCAAAAATGTCTGAAATCTAATGTGTGTAATCTCCATATGCTAAAATACATTTCTGATTACGGGCGATTATAAATTTAAAAATAACCTTAAGTAAATGATTTAAAATTAAGAAATTAACAGAATAGGAAATTTAAATACTCAGGGTTTGCAAATCCCAATATAAAATGAATATAAGAAAATGGAAACCTGAGCTGAGATAAAAGATAATGACACCATTGCATATTGGGCCATTTATACATTTTTATATATTACTCACAATATTTTTTAAAGTAATTACCCAGTGATACTAATTGTAATTGAAGAAATTATTATAAAAAAAATAAAACCTGAAAAATTGGATATAATAATATATTCAATATATTAATTTCCAAATGGATATAAGATAACCAATATTTTAAAATAATCAATCTTGATTCTCTATCATAATCTATTGACAATTATTAAGATTCAATATTCAAAACAATTCAGCTTTTAATTTAAAACTATTATTCAACATCCAAGGTTAAAAAAACAATTTTGTAACTTCAATCCCCTTTATCTCAGGTACTCTAATTGCTAATGAGCTAAAATTTTGTTTTTAGTATAACTAGAATATATTTACGCACCTATTTATAAATTGAAAGGTTGGCCAAAAGTAATGATTTGACATAATATTACTATATAAATGTTTGGTTAGCTCCTTTAAAAAAGTTGAATCTGGATCATTAAAAAGTATTATATTATATAGGTTTAATAACAAGTTCAATGCATCTCAAAAATTACAGTAAAATATTTATAAAAATTTTGTATCTTGCTATCATCATTAAATTAAAATATTCTTTATCATATATTATATCATTTTAATTCCAAATTTATTGTGTAAATTGTGAATAATATAAACATCTAATAATAGTATAGCTTTCTTTTCATCTATTATAGCCTTTTTTTATGACAGTGGTTCATGTTTCAAGCATTTACTTAATTATATAAAAAATATACTGCTCATTGTAAGTAAATAATAACATAATTATTTTTGACTATAGTAATCATTTATTCATTTGTTCTATAACCAAGGGATTTGTGGCATATAGCTGATTTATTAAGGCCTAAATTAAATGTAGCTTATAAACAAATTGTAAAATAACTTGTCTTCGTAAAAGATCCAAGTTTTTGATTCCATCTTCATATAATTTTTGAAGCTTATTTTTATCTATTATATTAATATTTTCATGAAATGAAGTTTTGACCCTTTCTAAAGCATATTCTCTAAATTAAAAATAATAAATATACTCTTTAAAAAACCTAAAATTATAAGTCTTAAATTTAGAGGATTCTCTTAAAAGCATCTTGTAAAGATTTAATACTTTTATTTTGGTAGCCATTGCTTGGATGCATACTATTGAAAACACAATTAGGCATTAATTTTATCATTAATTTAAAAAACTGAAGGGCTCCTCATTTTTTCTCCCCTTAATTAACTATCCAATTTGATGGATTTTTGAGGAAAACCTAGCGAAGCTCTGTTGTATCCATAACCAGAGATCGAAAATGCTTTTATCACGTATCACGTAAAATAATTATTTTTACTTATTTAAAAATTAAATATATTAAGAATGAGTATTTTGATGCAATTACGGAAACAGAAACATATTCAAAATATTTATTCAAGACTATTTTCATAACTTTATAAATAAATTACGATATTAGTATTATAATAAGGTGTGTATTTGAGGGAGGCTAGTCCCACGTCAACTAGTTTATTTATTCTGAGCAACCTTTTAAAATTTTTATGAGGAGCTGATACCCCTTGAAAAATTATTAAATTTTAAGTGTTAAATTTGAATCCTTTTTCTTCTTATTATTATTATAAAAATTTAAAAAATATTTTAAAAAAATAATTCAAAATTATTTTATAGCTACTTACAAGATAAAGAAGCAAAGAGTTTATTTTTTAATATTTTATTATTTATCTATATTTTAATTTTCCGATGTCCTAATTACGTCATTCGTTATGTCATATCATCGGTACGAAAGGTCATCGGTACGTATTGACATGTGACGTCATATCATTGGTACTTATTAATTTATTTTTTTATATATTTTTTTTTAAAATCAACCCTCATTTATAATCAACGCGTTATGTATATTCAAATAAAGCTTATAAATCGGTATTTGAAAAGGATATGTTGCGATTCGTTGATAAAAAATATACAATTTCAATAAAAAAGAATATGATTTTTCTTAAATATTATAGAAATAATCATCTCTATTTTAGATTTATCTTAAAACATATTAAATCATGGAAAGATTATTGTTATAGTATCAAATATTTTACACAGATAGTTATATAAAATGGTAGGAAGAATTCAAAAATAAAAGGAAACTGCACATATTTATGTCAATTATTTTAAGAATAATGCCAGTTATTTTGAAATATTTATTAAAGTTAATATATTTAACAATACAAGATATTTTAGGGTAATGATTATCAATGGAAGGTGATATCACATGTAAATGTTAATGATGATTCAAATTTATATATTAAATAGTCTGTTTTAATGAATAAAAATTTTAATATTATATTGAAGGGAATCGTTTATAACCATTGGGGTAAAGATGGTGTAGCAATTAAGGAGCATCAATACCTTTTTTTTAGCTGATTATTAGAAAAATATATTTATAAAAAACAAAGATTTGTCATTTTTTATAAGATTTAAAAAAAATTTAATACCTGCTACAGATTACTTTTTCTTAACCTTGCCTTATTACTTATTATTATTTAAAACTGAGCCCCTTTTTTAAATATAGTTAAAAAATATATGTATAGATAAAATAAGGTTACAAGAATAACTTTGTTTTTAATTAATAATTCAAGATATGTATAATATACTAATAAAAAATTATTTTTATACAATAAATAATGAATATATTTTATTATAACAAAATATAAAATTATTTTCCATTCTTTTCTATCTCAGTAAAAAAAAGAATATTTTATAGATAATATACAAATCAATTTTAAATAAACATTTATCAATGTTACTATTATTTATATTTTATAGATAATATACAAATCATTAAATTCCCAAACAGCGAATATTATCCACTGCACTGGATATGCTCTCTAAAGGGTATTAATGCTAGCACCTCTATTACTATAATAAAGCACTTATTGACTCCTCGACAGGTTTTATTTTATTAAAAATAATAATAAGTTCTATTTATTCTTTCCTTCTTCTTCCTTTTTTTATTTTTCCTTTCACTGCTCCTTCTCCTCCCCTCTTTTTTTCTTTACCTTTCCCTTTTTCTTTATCAGTTATTATAGGGTTGTTACGAAGCTGATTTGGGTCGATTTACAAAAACCACCCTATTAAGATTTTAGACATAATAATATTATATAAGCCTTGAGATTTAACAAAATATAGGTCCCCCTCTATGAGATCTTCAGTCTTACATATTATTTTGGCTAAAAACTTAATTGGGTCGTTTTTAAAAATCGACCCAAATTGGACTTTTTATCTTACCTCCATCCCTTTTCCTTTCATAGTTCCCTTTTCCTTTCATAGTACCCTTTTTCTTTTCCTTAACCTTTTGCTTTCTTTCTCCCTTTCTTTCCCCTTTCTTTCCCCTTTCCTTTACTTTTTTTTCTCTTTTCCTTACCATTCCATTTTCTTTCTCTTTACCTTTTTTTCCTATCCCTGCTCCTTTTTAGATTTTCTCTTTTTCCCCATTTTATTCTCTTTCTCATTTTCCTTTCTTTTTTTCCTTTATCTTACTCTTTCCCCTGCTCTTTCTTTTCCTTACCATTTTTCTTTCCTTTCCCCTTTTTCATTTCATTTTTTTTTCGCTTTTCCTTTTTATCTATATTTTCTTACACTTTATATTTCCCCATTTTCTTTATTTTTTTCCCCTTCTTTCTTCCCTTTTCTTTTCCCTGTTCTTTCCCTTTTTCTTTTACTTTCCCTTTTTCTCTACCCTTATCTTTATTATTTTCTTTTTATTACCCTTTTCTTTTCCCGTTCCCCTCTTCTCTTTGATTTCCTTTCTATATTCCTTTATTTTTATTTTTTCTTTCCTTTCCCTCTTAATTTCTCTCTTATTATCTTTCCCATTCTTTTTTTCCCATTCTTTTTTTCCTTTCCTTTTCCATTACCTTTTTTTTCCCTTACCATTTCCCTTTCCATTTTTCTTTTATTTTTCTCTTTTCCTTTTCATATTTCTTTCCCCTTTTCTTTTCTATTCATTTCTCCTTTTCCTTTTTCTATTCACCCTTTTTCTTTTCTTTCCCCTATTATTTTCCTTACCCCTCTTTCCTTTCTATATTCCTTTTTCTTTCACTTTTCCTTTCTTTCCCTTTTAATTTATCTTATTAACTTCCCCTTTCTCATCTTTTCCCTTCCCTTTCCAGTTTTCCCTTTTTAATTTTCTTTCTCTTTACCTTCTTTTCGCTGTTAATTTCTCCCTTGTTACATTCCCATTTCTTCTCCTTTCCTTTTACTCCTCACTAACCTTTTTTTTCCTTTTTCTTTCCATTTACCTTTCTCTTTTCCTTTACATATTTCTTTCCCTTTTTCATTTCACTTCTCCTTTCGTCTTTTCTTTCCTTTTTTCTTTACCTTTTCCTCTTTACCTTTCCCCTTTTCTTTCCCTTCGCCCTTTTTTTCTTGTCTTTAAAAATTATAAATCTTGCTTATATCTTCTAAAAATTTTAAAGGTAATATTGAAATATAATTAATCTATGCTAAGAAGTCAACAATTGTATTCAAATGTGCTTATTTCTCTTATTTTATGCTATTTTTTAAAAAATACAATTTAAATACAATGATTTACTTCCTTATTATCTATTAATATTAATTTCATATTTACTTAAATTTTCTAGGATATAGCAGGATTCCAATTTTTTCTTTGTTTTTTAGCGATTTAGAAAGAAACCCTTTTTCTACCCTTCTTTTCCTTTGCTTTCCCTTTCTCCTTTTATTTTTACCCCTTTCTTTCCCTTTCTCCTTTTATTTTTACCCCTTTCCTTCCCTTTCTCTTTCCTCTTTCCTTCCTTTTCTCTTTTCCCTTTCCTCTACTTTTTATTTCACATTTTTCCCTGTTTTTCCTTTCCCTTCTTCTTTCCAGTTTCTTTCCTTTTTCTTTTACCTTTTTCTTTTTATATACTTCCTTTTGACACAAAATTAGAAATTAATATAAAATAAATATAAATTAATATAAATTTAATTAAATGAATTATATAAAAAGAATTTTTTATAAAATATATGAATAATCATATTGATATATATATATATAAGTGCTATATAATTTAAAATCTATTCATATTATTATCATCCAAGAAAGTTATTTTATATGAATTTTTATTTATTCAATGTAAACTAGAATTAAATTATAAATTAATAAATAATAATTTAAAACATCACATTATTTAACAATGTACGATTTAGTTTTATAATTAAAATATTCATTGTATGCTTATCTAATCGTGTCCTTAGAGAAGGGAGAGTTAATGCTAATGCATTAAATGCTCTCAACTGAGACCTGGACGCGAGAAGCGATGAGAATTACCTGAGACAGTTAAATAATTATGTTCTTGATGTTTTCTTGAAAGCCAATATTTCAAAATATTTTAATTAGGTGACTCTTTTGTTGTATAATAGAGATTTTATTTTAAGCTTATAATTGCTATTACCCAGTTCATAGTAAACAGGCGCTTTTTGCAATCTCGCTCGATGTAGAGGTCAAGTTTAGGTTATTTATAATCTTTGTGGGAGTAAAATTATATATGAAGTTTCTTTGTAAGAGTCAAGAACTTGCATATGTTTTCAGGTTGCAAATATGTTACTAAAATAAAAAAGATGTATATTATAAGTTTATTAATTTACCCTGGCTAATATTTTATCATTTTTCGAAGGAAATTTTTTATTTCAAAATGGAATCTTGGATTGGTGTATATGGTAAAGAACCATTTTGAAATAAAATCTCTTATGATCAAACGATCTATCATATTTTTGGACAACTCACTATTCAATTCTTCTAACTTATTTTGCATTTATATCAAGAAGCAAAAAATCACTAATTACTATTTTTTGTAATTTTGTCGTGAATATATATAACTACAGTAGGATTGAAGTGCCCAATCAGATTATATCCCATAAATCCGAACTAATTAAAAAAATTTATTATCTACAAGATTTTTTATCATAAGGTAATTGCTATACCTAGTAGTAAGGGTGAGTTTATAAATCTAACCCATTAAAAATGACTTTTTATACTTTTGGGTTTTAAGTAATTTTATAATATTACGAACTGTCTAATTCTAATTTTATATTTTTTAATAAAATTGTTTACAGCAAGTTATATCATATGAGCTGAATAACAAACACAGCTTAGACCAAGGCCTTTACTAATATTGTCTAATATATTCCATATTATATCATATTGGTATTTCTTCACCAGAGTAAACTGAGATGTTTTCATCATCAATGCATAAATTTTCCTTCA